TCTTGCTCTATAAGATAGTACACATTTTGTGTGGAAACACCACTTCGACCAAGTATCTTGCCCTTGTTAGATCTGTTACACTTCGAAATTACGTTATAGCGCCCTTTAGCTGTTCTCCCAGTGTCTTTAAGATCTCGCTTTTTTTTAATCACTCAGGATCCTCGAATATAATAGTGTCCATCATAGTACTGGGACTTTTTTCTTATATTTTACGACACTCGTCGTCCCACTCTGCTTCTTGCTCATATAAAAAACAACTGAGTGTAAAAATCTTTTGGTACTTGCATTGACGTTTTATCTAAGCATGCGCATGATAAAAATGCGTTTTTATGATTTTTAACTTTCTGATCAAATCTCCTGGAACTTTTCGTCCACTCAATCCCTATCTCATTGCTCACGAAGTGATTACAAGTTCATTTTACAGTTGCTCGACGTGTGTACTCTACAAAAGACAGTAATGATCCGCTGAATGCAGAAATTGACGACGATATCTATATTGATACTAAAGAGTTGTGCAAAAGAATAGCGTATGAGCTGAAACAACATTCCATCCCTCAGGCTATCTTCGCTGAACGAATTCTGTGCAGGTTAGTAGAGTCCATAGTGTCTTCTAAATGATTGCTGTAAACGACTGCATCGAGCGTATTTACTCACTTCATGTTCAGGAGTCAGGGAACGTTATCAGACTTGCTACGAAATCCCAAACCTTGGAATAAATTGAAATCTGGTCGTGAGACATTCCGACGCATGTTCAATTGGGTACAGCAGCCACTCGCAATGCGACTAGGAATTCTGGATATGTGCAAACAAGGTAAGACGTCAGCCAATGTTTAATGACTGAGTCTTCGTTCAGTCATCCCCATCCTGTATTTGTGCGAAACGTTTTCATTCTTATGCGTCTTGATGATTCCATCTTTGACATTTTGTCGTTAGAACTTTTATTCCCTATCACTTTCTGCTTGCTCATAATATCTCCGCGCCCACGTATGCGATTATCCTAATCACCACTAATGGTCAAGGTGCCGCGATTTGAGGTGTTCAGATCTATCAAATGTGAATGCTATCTGCTCTTTTTTTCATTGTTTCTTCGTGAGTGGCGAGTCAAGTGAGAAATTGTGAACATCGCGAAGGTTTATTTTGAGACACCTGCCTTTTTCCTTTTTTTACCTTGTGTTATCTCACGAAAAGTCGGTGTCTTATGTCATTTCAAATGAGGTTTGCATCATTGCAAATAGCGAGTATGATTCAAGTAATCACGCGCGCCTCATGTTCAGCGTGTTGGAAACTTGTTAGTCACTCGTCGGTTTTCATATTATCAAATGTCTTGTATGATTTGTTCGAGCTCACAATCGCTAATATCTACCAGATAATTTGTGGGGCTGATCTGATCATCAGGGGCCGCAGACATGGGGAGTGGTGAGAGCTACACAGGAGGAAAGAGGTCAGGTTCTTGTATGGTGTTTCGTTTTGTGCACCGCTGCCATGTTGCAAGATTCGGTATACACCGAAACTTTCTATGTTTTCTTCATACCACTACCATGCGCTTTGAGCTCGTTGTACTAGGTTGAGTCAACAGTTTGTGAACTTTTTGCTTTTCGTTTCTAATTGATAGAAGAGATTCAAGTTGTGTTAAACATAGGTTTTTTTCTTTTACGGTCAGGTCGAGGGCATAATTGACCTTAGCTGATAAAAAAAATACCTTAAATATTGAACTCATCGTTTTTGCTTTGGAGAGGCCTAGGTAAACTCAGAACTTCTTTCCAGGGTTTGCTAAAAATTTTGACTTTATAAAAATACAAGTCGCGCCGCTTCGAAATATCTTGCATCAAAACTTTTGTACATGATGATATGAGGTTTACATTTGTCGCGTCTCTTGTTCTTCCTTCTCTCTTAACCTACTTTCCGTTGCGTGCAGACAAAATCACTGGCGTAAATAATGGACTTACGAGGGTTTGTCACTATACATTTTTACGCTTTCTTATATCTTTGTATGGTCGGATATCTTGCCCTTTATGATTGCAAGCCCATCACAGTTGTATAGAAGAGTCTGCGTTGCGCAGCAATGTTAGGACAAACTGTTTATTTCGCTAAACAAGTATGGCAAGCCTTCTACCACAAAACAATAATTTTTTACCCACAAGAAATCTTTCGCCAAGCAACGAAGAGTTGTCATGACTTTAGTCATGCATTCACTTCTTTCAATAATATCTGGTCCATGCATAGGAAAGGCGAAGATTGTTGAAGGAAATCTTTGGCATCACTCTAGAACTGCTTGAGTTAATCATTACTGTGCGCTAGACTTTTATTTTACGGGCGCAGAAAGTAGCATATTTGGACAAGACACCTTTCAATAATGCTTTTCTTCCTACTATTTTAAGACAGACGAAATTGCTTGACTATTTACTATCCGGATGTAGATACATCTATGTGATGCTTGTTTTTGGTCAGCTTTTCCATTTCGTGACATGATCAATAAAAACTTATCATCACAGTCTCAGGCCTGTGATGGGTCGCACGCAGGGTCCCGGGTAGGTATCTGCCTAAATTTTACCACAGAACCACCGCGGGCACTTAAACAGAAAATCTATTGAACTGTATTTTTCTTCCATACAGCGAAGATAGCTGTCGATAATAATCTGTTTCACAAACACAACCTCAAATCTCAGTTGCTTTCGAATGCATTTCAATTATAGCCAACGCACTGCGTGCTAATCAGCAGCTGAAATTTTGCCATATTCATGTAT